CGCACGCACGCACGCACGCAGAGATGATGGCTTTCAAACGCCCGAAGAAGAGAGTGTACTGGGGAGCTAGGAGGCTTCGAGGGGCAAAGGAGGAGCCCAAAGCCCGCAAAGAACGCTCAGCAAACTGCTCGGGCTGGCTTGGGTGTCTTCATGGGGTTGGTTGCTAAGTTGCTGGACTCCGCGCATGATATACAATGCAGATCGCTGCAACTTTGCCCGATCAGGCCTCCATGGATGAGAAGCTGGAAGCTATGCTCCAGAAGCTGGAAGCACAGCGCAAAACTGCCTGGTTTTTGCGCGGCACAGTCCTTGTAAGAATTTATGAGCTGATGTGCTGGCCAATGCTGGCCAGAGCCAGACCTTGCCAGGGTTTGCTTTGGAACAGAAGGAGTGCGAGTCACAGCTGTGCAGCCAATGGTGTCATCACGATGGACGCAGTTTTCTGACAGTTGCCTTCTCATGTGCTCAGATCCACGCTGCATCATATGCAGCGAAATCTGGAACGGGTGGCCAACGAGGTAAACCGACTTGTGGAGGAGATCCACGACATAGCATCCCATCCCTGTGGTGTGCTTCGCTGCAAAAACCTCATGCCTGGTCCGGTGCAAGGATCAGGACGCAGTTCGGGACATCTGTGAAGCTCGTGTCGCTCACTGCCTGGATGGGAGTGACAGTGTAACACTCAGAAACGATGCGGACGTGAGCAAGTGACGCTCCAAGGACGAGCAGAGCAGACGATTCACTCAGTTCAAAGCTGAAACCGAAGCTGGAAGCCTGGCATAGCCTGGCATAGCCGCCATGGCCTGGCGCTCCCGAATTGTCTGCAAATCTGCAAAGCGAGGTCCGATTTGCCAGCATGGAGAGGCAACACAATGCCCTGAGTGATGAGCTCTGGGGAGATGAGCTGGGATTGGCTAAGGTCCAGGGCTCGGCTCGGGGTACTTTGTCAGATCTCCGTTCTTTTGGACATCTTACACCAAGATTGCCGGAGAACTGAAAAAGACGAATGCGACCTTCGGCAAGCTCGAGGATGGTGCTTTCAGAGTGCATTCATCTTGTTTGCAGAGTGGGAAAGTCATTAAGAATGCTCGGTGATGGCCCTGAAAGTGCAGGATGCAGTAGCTGCTCTACAAGAAGGCAAGGCAGAAGCTGTCCAGCTGGAGAAGTTGCGGGCAGACGTTCCGTGGGCTCGCTTAACTGTCCTGAAAGTCCTCGTGCCGAGCATGCAACACCATTTTTGAGAAACTCGACAGCCGTTTACTGCCAGGTGGCCAAGATGGTGCATGAAGCGAAGACTTCGACTTCACAGATGCGGCAGACCGTTGGTGAGGCCATGTTGTCTGCTTGCTCGACGAGAGGTAGGGAGGTGTGACTTCGATCTCTGCACGCACTTCAGACAAGAAGGTTGAGGATGCATTCTGCTACTGCTATGCAATGCCAACCTGTGTTAGGTTTTTCGTAGGTGTCACTACACGTTTCATGATGTATCTTAAATGTATATCAAGTTTTTTCGACTTGTATGCGCTCACGTATGTGCATATCCTATTTACAGTAGCTGCCTATCTAAGTATCATTCCTTTTTTGTGTTCTCGCTCTCTCCCTCCCTCTCTCTCTCTCTCTCTCTCTCTCTCTCTCTCGACCTCACAATATAATACAATATATGTGTGTGTATATATATATAAAGCGTTCAAGCTGTCTGTCGGTTTTCATCAGCCTACCTAAGCCCGTCTGGCCTGTCTGTCATCGATCGATCCATTAGTATTTCTCTCCCTCTTCACCACTATACACAGATGAATGGAATGAACCTGAATTGCAAGTGCAAAAAGGAGGGGTGGTGTGTCTCAGTACGATGCAATAACGAGTATGTGCAGGTGACATTGACGTAACACTATAGAATCACAGCCTTTCATTTCTCCGAAGCAAAACCATGCATGTGCTTGCATGGTCAGACCTATCTCTACCGGACTCTACCGGAGTACTTGAAGTAACCGTTGGCTTGTAGCAAACCGCCTAGTTCAGTCGTTGCTTCCGTCCCTTTTCAAACTTGCAGTATCAGACCGCGCTTCTATATATCGAGGTGCCGCACTTATAATGTAACTTATCCTTTGGCACTGCACATGCAGTGACATTGTAGCATCTCTGTGCAGGTGGTGAATGACGTGCGAGAGCATTTTCGCACTGCGTCCGAGACCATCGCATCCCACAATGCCAACTTTGTGAAGCAAGTTCGCGAGGAGTATCAGGTGCCTTGGTTGCACTTCTATAGCCGGCCTCGGCAGCTGCTTCAAGTAAGAAGCGCCGCTGCGGTTGACATATGCAGTGCACTTGGTTGCGCGACGAAGGTCGAGCTGTCCAACTCCGCGAAGCTTCGGGAGGAGGTTCCGTGTGATGTTGGGACTCGCAGAGCTCCCGACTCTCTACTTCAACTTCTTGAGGTGAAGAGCTTTATGAGCAAAGCCACGCAAAGTGTGGAGAGCCTGGAGCTGCGTGTTGATGAGGTGGCATCCAAGGCCGCGACCGCGGTTTTGCTTGCGCCTGTTGAATCGTCGCGTGTTTGAAAAACAGCCGCCCCGCAGCCCATGATACCAGTTTTTCTTGAGAGCTCTCGCTGCGGACCTGTGCATCTAGAGATGTGAGTCAGTGCCAGTGTTCTGCGATTTGTTGCCAGTCGAAGGTGTGTAACAGCTGCCCCGTTTGTCAGAGTGTGTTTGGTCTCGCTCTTGACAGAATGCAATTGAAACATACATGTGCATTGACCCGGGAAAGTGGGTCCC